TGGGGTTTGTGGGGATAGGAGGGAATTGTGGGGATAGGAAGGAAGAGTGAAGAAAGATGGGGATAGGGGAGTTTAGTAGACTTCCCTTCCTCTTTATCGTGAATTTGAATCTGGAGTTTTTCAGTGTTTCTTGTTATTACTATTTAACTTGTTTCAAAGAATAGATATTTCTCCCTTATTCCTTTTGTTTGTTTATATTAAAATCCTCATATTCTATTCTTTCATAGAATTAATCAATAAAATCCAGTCTGTTTCTTTCCTAGAGTTGTTTTGTCGGTATGATAATAGTTGTGTTAGTTTGTCCATGCTCATGATTTCCACAATTTTTATCAAACATTCCTTAGTTGTTGGAATTTCTTCTACTCTCCAATATCACGCATATATGATTCTGGCTGCTGTTGTCAGATTGTTAAAAAGGATTTCTTTATTGTTTGCTAGTTTTACATCTATAATACCCAACAGAAAACATTCTGGTTTGAATTTAATTTGTTCCTGTAACATCTTCTGGGTGACATCATGAATTACTTTCCAGGAATTTTTTGGGCTGTCTTCTGACTTTGGGCTGCCCCAGTGTTGTTGCTGCTGCTCTGGCTTTCCTTGGCCATCTTGCCTCCATCGCAAGATGGCCAAGGAATAGATAATTGCAATATAAGAAAGCAGATCTACTGGGCCTAAACATCAGCGTAGGGAGATTATTTAAAGACCTGACCCCACACCCTCTAGTGCCAGGAATTGTTAGGAGAGCACAGAGCCCACAACAATCGTCCAGTCAGGATAGAAGAACAGATCATTTAGATAACTCCCAACGGGTGGGAAGCAATGAGAAATTTCAGACAGAAACCCCCCTAAGTGGTCAACAACCGACACTAATGATAAACAACACAGCAAAAGTACCATCAATTCTAACGCCAACCACATCCATGAGATTCCCCCCAGAACTCAAAACAAGCCTACATCTAACCCTTCACCATTCAAGTCCCAAGAAATACATGTTACAACCACCACCAGAGCTCAACTCCCCCTTGCCAGCATACCCAGTGAGACACCAACAAATACACCCCCCCCCCGCGCGTGTGCCAGTATTTAAATCTGATGGAAGAGTCTGTAGAATTGTTCTCAATGGACATTCATCATTCCTTCCTTGAAGCATTCAAAAGGTCCCTCCTAGCTCAACGCCATCTTGCCTCTTCATCCATTGCTATACCCCCACCCCAATCTCCTTTCTCCCTCTTTAGTCAAAGTTAGTAATAACAGAAGTTACTTTAGCCCGTCTAAACTTATTCTGGGAACATAAGGCTGTTCTTTCAGATCACTGGTCTTAATGATCCTACATAATTTCTCAACAGTTGCTTTTGATAGAAATGGGAAAACAACATGTATTGGTGAAGTATTAACAATAAAGGATGGACACTGAATATCAGGTCACCATTTTATAAGGTAGCTCTGTGTAATGTGATTCTAATGAAAGATTCTCCTTAATGTGAGCTAACACTAACTCAATATTCCTTTTCTTCAGAATGAAGAAAAACCAGTGACATCAACAAGGGAGAGGCATTGAGGCATTCAGACATAGACTTAAACCTATTTATTCTCATTGCCCAAGAAGTAAATACCACCTTCACTTTTTCTACCTAAAGCATGTAGTCTTCCCCCCAGATTTGTAATTTTGATTTTTGTGATTTTTCATGGATATGATTTAAAACATTATCTCTACAAATGCCCAGGTCTGCCAATGTAATTCCATGGTCGACTTCCTTCAGTCATGCTGGAGGACCTAAACATTTCTTGAGAGAACACATCTCTAGGAATCTATAGGTGATCCAGTGTGATTCTATATTCAGCTTCTATAGGGTCATGCTAGAAGACTTAGACATTTCCAGAAAGACATTCTCTCAGGTTAAAAACTCTAGCAATTTCTTTATTTTCTGTTTTTAACTTTCACTGGGGGGTCCTGTGCTCCTAACCACAGTGAATGTGAAAGGATGACTGTATGCTGTGCGAGCAAAGGAGAAGCTATCTAGGAGTAAATCCTGAAATGCTGCTCCAAAACTCACAGAATGGCCTACATTCTCTGAGAGGAAAGGGTTTCCGTCTACTAGCTAATAGCGATCAATGGGGTGACAGATGTTGCAGCCAGATCGCCTTCACATCCTTATTTAGAGAATAAGGAGAAATTGCACATCCTCCTACAGGGTTCAGATAAAAACTCTATTTTAAAATTGACCCTTTTTTACGCAAAAAGCACTGGCCATCTGTGAGAAGATGGAAGCAGAGAGAGGTGACCTTGCTGCCATCAACAAAATTCAAACTTAAAAACTAAATATGGACATGCCACTAGTTTTACCTACCCGTGCCCCTGCCCAAACCCTACTTTAAGGAATTAATCCATTTTTAATCTTTTAATTTTTTATCTTGTAGTTGCACAATCATTTAGGAGTGGGTTGACAGGCCAGTAGGCCGGGATGTCTTGTATTCATATATGGTTTTACTGTATGTATGGGCAAGTGTGTATGTTTTGCATGTTTTGCATGTTTTGATATGGTCAAAATTGACTAATCAATAAAGAATTGTTGTTACTAGCTAATAGCAGCAACTCAATGACAAAGCTTGTACGTTGTTTTTGAAAAGCATTATGCTGGTATGAGGTGCTGTTCAGATAGACTTCTAGCCATGTTTTCATTGTCTGTTCTTGAAACAACCAAAGGCTTCCCTGCCACAGGCACAACCCAAGTTAATTACTGGCATTCAGACTACATTGACATGTCCTCTCTGGTGGCTGGGGGCTATGCTACTAATGAAAAGACATCCTGAATCAGAACAAGCCGGCTGCAGGCTACAGCATTCTCCCCTTTCAGTTGCAATCCATAGACACAAAGGAAAGGGAAGTTTCAGATCAACAGCTGTTCCTGAAGGGCAGCATGAACAAGTCTTCCCAAATGGTAACAGACAAGCAGTCTTACATGCACAACAAGGTTCGAAGCACCACATTTTGTGACCAAAAAATGGCACTATATAAATGCCAAGCATAGGTATGCTTAGACTCCCTACGGCTGCATAACAACAGTTGACATTTAACTTGTGCATTTGAGTGTTCAGGGCTCCTTACATACTCTGTCCTGTTCCAGTCCTAGCTGCCACAAAATAAAATGAAGATCCTATATGAGGAAAATATATTTTGTTATGCCAATGAGAAGATTGCACACACACAGGTGAAAGGTTGTGAGATGAGTGGCTGACACAGTCAGTCTGTCAGCATGAAGAGCATGTATCTACAATGTGGGATGACAATGAGGGATTCAAAATTGCTACACCAAGTAATGAATTCTCCCAACAGCTGAATTCTCTGGACAATTAACAGGAAAAAGAAAACCAAGCAAACCAAGATGACCTCCTGCCACAGCTCAGCGTTGAAAAATTAAATTAAGCTTTTACCTCAGACTGTCTCCTGTAGGTTTAGCAAATATTACTATTGTCCTATATCACAAATGGTCAGAGAGAGATTGAGAGCGAGATTGAAATCAAAGCATGACCGAGGTCACTGGTGAGATTAGAATGATTTATTGATTTTAGTGGTTCCCATATCAAAAGGAGAAGGTGAACCACACTTTTATAGAAACTTTATAGGAACTATTTGAGGTGCCAAATCAATTTTTGGAGGTAGAAATTAGCACCTGGACTTAAAGGACTAGTCCAAATGGAGAGCTTGTTTCCCACTCTATTGACAGGGAAGCTACTAGCCAACGCTGATGCATGTTGTGGTCGCAGCAGCTCTGGATTCAACTCACCATAAGAAGTGAGTTGGTGTAAGAGTTATGACTGAGCTCTTAACTCAAAATGCTCACATCTCGATGCAATTTTACAATTGAAATGCTATTAATCTGCCATTTTGTTAGGTGTTTTTAAACAAGAACATGTACTTTATAAGTAACAAATAATGCATACATGCAAATTCACATGGAGCAATAAAAAAGATAAACTTTAAAACGGTAGAAGTACAAGGTGTGGCAAGGAAGCACATTTGAGGCAACAAAATGTGTGTTGGCCAGTGTAGTAGCAAGGCAAAACTTGCACAATCACATAGAACAATAAAAAAAGAAAGATCAACTTCAAAATGGTTGAATCACAAAGTTGTGGCAAGGTGCACAAAGTGAAGAGGCAGAAGCATCATTGTCTTCATACTGTATTCATTCCAGCCTTCCTCCCTCTCTTGCGCTCTCTCCCTCTCTCTTCATGAAGCCAAACATACCAGGAATAAAACCACGTAAAATCAACAAATCCAAAGTTTCTCACAGCAGAAAGCTATCTCTCAAAGAGGACAAGAGCATGAGGCATGGAGGCTGCTCCCTTGAAGCCCTAAAGCCTAGTATTCTCACACTAGTGCTTCTTCTGTGATAGCTCTTAAGTCAAAATGCTGCTCTTATGTCAAAGTAAAACCCAGGCTGAGTGACAGCTCTTAACTCAAATGCTCTTAAGTTAGGATGCTCTTAAGTAGAAGTTCCACTGTAGTGTGTATACAAAACCTTAATACTAGCTAACATACTTATCGTCATGGCAAGACCCAGCAAAAGTCAATGCGATACAATACCTGCACTGAAAACAACAAACATACTCAATATTTTTCACTATGGTCTTTCAAAAACAGTAACTGGAAGGCCACTGAAAAACTGCTTAATTCTACCTAGATTTAACCACACTTCATACGAACAAAGATTAAATACCTGCATGTCTTTCACTTTATGGCTGATTTGACAGGGGAAAAAATTCTCTATAAGCAGCAGAAGAAACATTATTTATATTATGAAGCTTAGTAATTTATGTGATTTATCCAAACAAAGAAAATGAAAACATAAACCCATTACTGAAAACTAAATTGTACAATTTTAAAGAGCATTCAATTTCAAAGGGCATTCAAGCTGCTTTACTGTGAGTTCTAAGACTAGCAACCTACTTTGGCCAAACCCAACATAACACCTATATTTCCATTGTGAAAATGCACTTACCTGCCTGGTTTGTGGTTACATTGACTGAAACAAATTGCCGTGCAGCTCGACTCTGGCCGGATACACCATTCATTGCCTCAATCTCAAAGGTATAGTTTGTGTGAGCAAGCAGGTCCGCCATCATCACAGAGGTGTTTCTCAGGCCGCTTTGTTGTGGAAGATACCTGACATGACTGCCACATGACTCACAGAGCCCTGAGTGCGAGTTGCACTTCTTGCATGCAATATAATAAGACACATCTTTCCTTCCACCAGTATCAGCAGGAGGAATCCATTCCAGAAAGACACTAGTCTCGTTAACATTTGAGATGGCACTCCGAGGAGCAGAGGGGGGTCCTGGTGTGTAAAGTGAGAAAAACACAGGGTAAGAATCAGATTCAAAATGTTGGCCAAATTTTCTAATACTTTTTTTAGAAGGGGGAAAAAGCAACATCAACACAGCCCATCAGCTTTCTTACTGGTCCTGGGCCAGTGGGTGCCACTGCATTACCCACTCATTCCTGAATATCTAGTACAATTTTTTCAGCTAAGAGGTCTTAAATCTATGCCACGTCATCTACCTTTGGCTCAGTTTTGTCTGGAAAATGAGTGGCACACCAACAACTTTCAAATTTAAACAAGAAAAAAAGTGATTGTGTTATTTATCTGTGTTAAGTGAGCCTTAGAATAGATTCTTGCTGATTCATGTATGGGCCTAAATTGTATTGTTAGTCCTAACTAGAATAGGCTCCTTGAATAAATAAGATTTACCTACATGCCAACTCACATTGAACAACTGATTGAATGGGTCTACTCTAATTGAGATTAGCTAACAACAAGCCAGCTAAGGAGTGCTTATTCAATTAAATTATCCCCGTGCTCTATATTGGAACCTCAGCAACCAAACTTGCACACTTTTCAGATATCCTGGCAGGCTGCTGAAATTGACCGCTTTCCATCAGTATAATACTTTCATCCATCACTGCCTATAAATCTCTGTTTAAGAGACCAGCAAAGAAGAACTGCATCCTCCTAATGGTATTTCAGCATGCAGCTCCAAGCTAGAGCATACCATGTCTAATTTCCCCATGGCATCAATTTAGGAAGGGGGTTGTTGCTGATATCATACTTAAGATCTACCATACGGCTCAATCCTATTTGAAATCTAGTTGAATGGTATATGTCAGGGCATCCTTGAAAATACTAATACTATAGCCTTGCTGCAGACACACAGTCAACCCTGATCTGTATGTAATATTCCTGCTTTGGTCTCCCACGTAGTTTAAACAATAACAACAAAAAGGGGAATCAAGTGCTTTTAAATTGATACTGGGGACACACTGATTCCTTCTTCTGTATTGTTATCCTTGAGAAGAGGTCCCAGGATGTAGCCCAGATGATTTTAAGAGCTTAGTAGTGTTCCATACATTCCTTCTTCTGTATTGTTATCCTTGAGAAGGGGTCCCAGGATGTAGCCCAGATGATTTTAAGAGCTTAGTAGTGTTCCATACATCACACAATAGTGAAATGCTCCTGTTCCAGGAAACATTCCAGGACGGGTTTTCCACCAAAGCTAGTCTTGTCCACAAAAGGTGTACAGCAAGGGAGTGGTGAAGATCATACTTTCCACCCATAATCAATCCCTCTACATTGTCCACTTGGAAAAAAGGCAGTAGTAGAGAGCTTATGCTTTTAGAAGATGGCCAGACACAGAGGATGGGCTGCATCATTAGTAAATAAGAGTAGTTAAACATAACAAATATGAAATCAAAATGTCTTCTGGGTAGAGCCAGCTTAACCATGAAGCAGAGTCAGCTGGCACCTGAAGGAAGGGGAATCATATTGGGGCCAAGACCTTGCAGGCTTTCCTGTGCAGATCACAGCTACACATTAACTATATGCTCTTGGTAGTAGCTTCTGCATTTACAGCTGCTGAATCTCCATTCCTCCTGCTCCCCTGTGGCTTCAGCCAGTCACTGGATGCATTCGTGCTGAGTCTGCCAGAATATGGTTCTATCCATAAATGTGAAAATGTTTGAACATCTTCCTTCTCTGTGGGATTCTTGGAATTTTGAAGGATCTAAGTGATAGTCAATCCGCCTATTTGGGGATTTAAAAGTATATGGATAAGATATAATGAACTAGGAAAATAATATGGTAGTCTGTTTCTTTTATCAATGATTTGCTTACATGAAGAGGAAAGTATTTATTTTACCTGTGGAGACTCTCCATAGGAAAATAGAATCATAGAATCATAGAATCAAAGAGTTGGAAGAGACCTCATGGGCCATCCAGTCCAACCCCCTGCCAAGAAGCAGGAATATTGCATTCAAATCACCCCTGACAGATGCGTGATTTTCCTGCACAAAGATGGATAGCCTCCACTGAGAGGAAGTATCTCCTCTTTGGACCCACTGCTTTCCTCACAACCAATGTGAGGGGGCAAAGTAGGCTTTGAAATGTTTTTAAATGTCTGCATAGGGATAATGTGAAAGTTTGATATTTTAGTGATGTATTGAAAAATAAAAATATCATGAGGGAAAATATGTATAATAGGATAGAAATAATGTATGTATCAGATTGAGCTGTGGAAACATCTACACCCCTAGACACACATTCAAGGTGAAGATTCATACAAGTAATTAAATTGATGTATAAGATGTGAAAAGCTAGATAGTCCTGCCTCTGATCCATCATAACATAGTGTTCTGTGTCATTCTTGCATCTTCACTGGAATGTTTTTAAGATATGTTTTTATTTTCCATCCTTTGGTACAACTTAATAGGAAACAACTGGTACATTTACCAAATTCCTTAGTTTTCTTCAAGAGAAGAAAAATATCAGTGAAATATTTGGTCTTGGGATTTGTAGATATGAATTTTGAATATCAGAGTATACCATCCTGAAACCAGGCATGTAGCCCGGGGGGGGGGCCTTGGGGGGCTCCAGCCCCCCCCCCCCCGAAATTCTCATGGTGGTCCGCGAGAAAACCTTACTGGTACATTATTTAAACTGTTATGTTTATTTATATCATGATCTGATCATCGTGCTCAATATATCCCATATGCATGGGGCTATTGGGATAACGATACAAAAGGTTTGCTAAGGTAGACTCTCTTTCACTCAGACTCAGCCCCCCCCCCCGAATCAAACTCAGCTCCCCCGAAACAAAATCCTGGCTATGGACCTGCCTGAAACAGTGAAGAATTTAAACTTCTTTAAGCTGGAGGGAGTTTTAAGAGGAAGAAGCAGCCCTTTGAATGCTATTTCGAATGCTTTATCAATGAAATTCTAAAGCCATTCTTAAACTATTCATTTTGTTTTATCAACTTATTGACAGCATTCTTATGCCAATTGTTGATAATTCATAATGTGTTCTGTATCTTCATGTTGTCATGATTATTCACAATATTGAATAATATTGCTATACTGCTCTATCATGTGATTTTTATATGAAACTAATGATATGGTTAGACATAACGCCATGCATCAATAAATGCATAGATGTGATTCCATTAAAATCCTAAGCCAACGAAGCATTAATTATAGACACAAACCAATCTAATAACCCACCTCTGTCCAGTTTAACTAGCCAGGAAGGGCAAGGGTCAAGAGTACAAGTGATCGCTCTCACAGCCCCAAGGATCCCGTCAATGTAATCAGGTGGAACAAGTTGAAATGAATTCCATAAGATCGGACTGATAAATGCTTCTGGCATTGCATTTAAGCTGGTATCCAACTCAAAGAGTATCTGAGCGACTTTATCTGCAAAACGGTATGTGAAATCGCTGCACTGAGTTGCAGAGTTCTCCCCCACCTCAGGGAGGTGGAGGAGCTCCCCGACAATCTGAAATAACTCCGATGGTCTGTTAGAAACAGACTCTATGCGGGCAGTCGAGAAGAACTTCTTAGCTGCCCACAAAGACTCAGAGTAGGCCCTAATTGAGGCTCTAGCCCGTGCTCGGTCAGAGGTGGCACTAGGTTTCCTCCAGAGGCACTCTAGTCTCCTTTTCACACATATCATTGCCAGCTCTTCTGAGAACCAAGGGGCTGGCATGACTCTGCAGCAAGAGGGGAAATTCAGGGGCAATCGTGTCTATCGCCCTAGCCATCTCACTATTATAGCAATCAACCAAGGCATCAACAGGATGAAGTTGTCATCCACATATCTGAACCATATAGTGGGCTCTTTTTTGCTGTTTCCAGGGCTTGTTTTTCAAAGTGTTCCATGTAGAAATTTGTCCCACAATAAATTCTATGAACAGAAAGATGGAGTAACTATCTTTCCGGGCCGAGGCGGCGGGCGGTCTGTGGCAGAGGAGCGGCTCGGCAGCGGCCCCCGTCGCGGACAAGGAGCGAGGCGGAGTCCTCTCAGCCCAGTCATAGAAAATTTCTACATCAAACACTTTGAAATGTGGACAATTTCATGTGGACTATTTCAACAGAAAGTAAAAAACCATGAAAATGAACAAAATCTGGCTACCAGTATTTAAAAACTCTAAAATCATAATAGTAAATAAAGAACAATACTCAAAAATAGGGGAACTCAAGACAAGAAACCATCAGGGACAACTAATCACTTCTCAACAAAGGATTCTCCCAGGCAGTAAGCAGCCACACTTTGAAACTGCTAAGCCATTAAATACATTTAGTTTTTAATATTGTTATTATGCACTGTCTTATGTCTAATTGCACTATAATGGTTCATTTTGTTTATCAATGTATGTATTTTTATGGCATCAAATTGTGCCAATTGCGTACGCCGCTCTGAGTCGCCTTCGGTCTGATATGAGCGGGTAGAAATAATGCAAATAAATAAATAAATAAATAAATAATCAAGTTGGCTCATTGAAACATTAACACCTGGCTCCAACAGACACGAGTTCTTTCTCCCACCCTGGACATTCCAGAGATATATAAACCCCATTTTCCTAATTTCCAACAGACTTCACAAACCTCTGAGGATACCTGCCATACATGCAGGCAAAACATCAGGAGAGAATGCTTCTGGAACATGGCCTTATAGCCTGAAAAACTTACAACAACCCACTAGGTTTTCAATTTTTGGCACTTGGTGGTGCGGAGACAATTTGCTTCGAAACCCAAGGAATTAAATGGGCAGAGTGCACAAATAATTAGTGAGAGTTTTTAAAAGGAAGAAGAAAGCAATGATTCTGAGCTGGGTACATTTTTGTTTTAGCTTTGGCAATTTACTCTGTGACATAACTGAAAATTATTGGGTCCTTCCACACAGTCATATAACCCAGAATACCAAGACAGACATCCCACAATATCTGCTTTGAGCTGGGTTATCTGAGTCCACACTGCCATATGTTCCAGTTCAAAGCAGAAAATAT